CCATGCTCCAGCACTGGAACTTCTACACTCTCTACAACTTCCGGGGCTTCGTCCACGTCACATACAGAAACCAAGACATCTGAGACTACGAGCGTGACTACCGCTTCATTCACTACAAAGTCTGATTCAACAACGGAGTCGACTTCTTCGGACTTCCATAGCAGCTCATCTTCAATGAGCACCACTGTCACACACGACACCACAGCTTCTTCAAGCACTACCTCCGAGACATCTAAAGCATCCTCAGCTACAAGTGAGGCTTCCTCCACTACAGAAAGCTCATCTACATATGAGACAACAGAATCTTCGGGAACTACTTCGCCTTGCTCAACTTCCGATACTTCAGTATCACCTGGAAGCTCTACAGCCCCTACTAGTGAGACTACAGGTTTCGAGTCTTCAGTCACCTCAGAGACATCAACTTCTTCGGTGCCTTGCACATCTTCGACGATACTATCTGAGTCTTCCGCCAGCTCAACAAGCTCAACAAGTAGTTCTGCTGTTTCAACTCCTACACCCTGGGCAACCGCAACAGTGTCTTCCGAGACCTCTTCTGCTTGGACATCAAGTGAAACTAGCACTTCTGCTACTTTAGCCTCGGAGTCTTCAAGTTCAACAACTTCTGGAGCTTCCTCCACTACCACCCCATGCGAGAGTTCTTCTTCTACTGTCTCCAGCACAATATCTCATTCCGAATCTTCTAGCACTACAACACCTTGCGAAAGTACCACCACGCCTGGTTCATCCACCACATCTGAGTCATCAACAACGTCACCATGCTCAACTTCCACAGTTAGCTCCGAGTCTTCATCAAGCTCATCAACATCTTCAGCTTCCACTACTCCATGCACAACCTCATCTCCTACAACGTTCTCAAGCACAACCTCCACCAAGTGCTCGACAGCCACATCTCCTCCCCCACGACCAACTTGCTTCCGGTACACTATTCGTAAGGATCCACCTCAGGCTGCTGACTGCGGCCACACCGGTCATCGTAATGGAAAGAAAGCAAAGGTCTTTGGATACGGCGACTCAGATAGTGTGGAGGCATGTGGAGAGAGCTGTGCCAAGTTTGATGGCTGCAAATCTGTCGTTTACGGTTACAGAGAGCATGACTTGAACCAGCCTTTCTGTGAATTCGTTGATTCGGTTCAAGGGCGTGATGACGAGGATGATACCCCTTGGCAGTGGTACGACTTGTCTTGTTTCAACCCGGACTGTCTTCCTCCAAATGAGTGTGGGTATTAGATGTAGAAGTATTGGATGAAGTTCTGGAGGGTACAGTTTTTGTTGTTTAGGCGAGGCGTTTTGTATTTTGTATATACCACCTGAGTTATTAGCAAACTCTTTTCTATGAAGACCTCTCTGCGCAAGCGAATTTTATTTATCATCCTCGTGCAGTTTCAAGTCAGTTTCCCTGTCCATAGGCTCATGCATAGACTTGTTCGAATTATCTCAGTAAACATCCCCTAGCCGAGGTCCAAAATATTCTCCAGGAGTAACTGTCTTACGAAGACATGATTGAGTTCCATCACATCCCTCGAACGGGATTCTATTTCCCCACCAGTCTAGATTGATATCGTTGTATTGCAAAGCAAAGAATATGACCAGCGCCGATAGAGCAACGCCAACCGAGAAAGCTGCCGAAAGGATGTAGTTATACTGTTCCTTGTTAGTATATCACTGAATATAGCTCATTTGTAAACCTGCCTTTGCCCAGAAAGCGAGATATCGCTTCTTGATATACATCCAAGAGAACCAGCCGATGGGCACAGCTGGCCAGATGTAGCTGATATTATACGGCGCCCAAATCATACCACCCCCGAGGAAAACAACAGGGTGAGTGCTTCGAATAATGCTGTTATTTGGGTGCCGTTTTCCCAGCCACCAAAACAGCAACACTAAAGCAACACCAAAGGGAAAGCCTACCAGGGTCTCGACATACTGACCCCCAGGTCCAAAGAGCTTCTTAGGCCCGATAGTTCCCCAAAGCACAGCAGCTGTGAAGAAGTTGTTCAGGCCAGGACACGTGAAGCGGTAAGGCGCATTTGTCGTACAAACGCCTTCTAAGTGAATCTGGTACTGTAGAACCCCAACAGAGACGAAGGTGGAAACAAGCGTTGGTACCATTTGTGCCCAGAACGTGAAGCGCGGAGGTATCTTCATGTAGTGTGCCAGCTTCAAGTCTGCGCTGAAGTATATGGCTTGGGCACAAGCTGTGTATCCAAATGTCTTGAAGAAACACAATGCAATGGCATTTCCTTCGGCAAAGGAGCCCCCCAGAAACTCAGCTATCACGTTGAGCGGGACAGCAATGCCCGTAGTAGCTGATATGATACCAACTGGTACAACAAATATGAGACTCAGAATGATACCAAAGGGTACGACTGCTGGGGTGGTATGCGTTGGCCATTGGGAGATGCCGACGATTCCAATGACGAAAGCCAAAGCGAGACATATCAAGTACCACCATTCAGGGACTTCGTGATATGTCTTCATAAGACGGTTGTGGGCATCTAACACTTGTCCATCTTCTATATCTCCCTTCTTTGGACCTCGAAAGCTGTTGACAAGGCTCTTGAGACCTAACACTATTTGATGGTGGTGATAAAGCGCACCATAAGTAAGAGCAGCTGTATACATGGCGAAAAACATCATGTATGATCCTAGATGAGCTGCTGTAAGGAACGCAGGTGAGTATGCCTCGTACTTCTCAGGATCAAATATCCCACGTTCGTCTAGAATAGCTGAGACATTGTATAGCCCACCAAAATGGTCGAAGGCACGGTTTGAGTTGACAGGGAGATAAGACGTGTAGTAGCCGTTTCCGTAATAAACCCCTAGAATGACAAAAAAGGACAACATTGTACCGCAGAAAAGGTTGAAGGTGGTAAAGAATGGCACCATGAGAGGGTCGCAGCCCATCGTGACGATATTCCAGTCGAATGTCGGGAAGGGATTAAGACCAAGACCAGTGTGTCCTCCAGTTATAGTTGCTAGATCCCGGTTATTCGGAGATATCCAAGTCATCCAACTGAACCAAGTCAGGCCGGCGAAAAGATAATTGGGAAGCCAAAAGTAGGCAAACATTGCTCCGAATGCAAGACTGAAGAACTTGAAGCGAGATGTATTCCAAATCTTCTTGAAGGGGCTAGGGACGGGCATGTCGGCTTCGTCGTGTAATGCTGTATTCAAAGCAATACACACTAATGTAGTTGGCCACAGACAATATGAGGGATATATAAGGAAGCGCCTGCAGACACCAGCGAGACCGTAACCGATGAACTTGGACGAAAGTCCCAGCAGGAGTTGATACCCGATGCTTATCGCGTAAGGCTGGTTGAAGTAGAATGGAAGATACTGTATCCAAACAATATAGTTGGTATACGGCGTCCCCATCGATATACTCGACATAATAGTGATCAGCATATGTTCTTTCTTATTAAAAGGCCCAGGATTCAGGCTGTGCCGAACACCAAATACAATGACACCAATATCAGGAAGAGTCTTCTCGAGAAACTTGCCGAACGGATAGGCCAAGAGTTGAGGAACAACAGTGCCGACACCGATCATTGGTTGCCGGATCTCGAAAAAGCTGTTGATGAAGGACACAGCGCATGAGAAGATAATGCCCACGAGCCAAGCACGGATCGTGGAGCACGGCATGCTGGGGTCATCGCGGTTGCTGACTATTGCTCTGACTTCAGCATATGGAGAGTTGTGTGTGATGAGTGCTGCCTCAATCTTAATTTCTTGGATCAGAGCTTCGTGGCGCTCTGGGTGTTGTAGAATATCATCGGTATCTGTCTGATATGAGTAAGTGATAGTCGGATGCTTGTTGGGTCCCATACCCAGGAATACTTCAATCTTCTTAATGACAGAAAGAGGAAAGTTGGGGTCTCTTTTATGAAGCGTATATACTCTCTTCATTGTCTGGCTATTGTGAGTTTATCATCAAGTCTAACTCGACATCCAAACGTACTTTGTGAACATCTTCGAGAGACAAGGTAGATGCAACCTCTCTTGCTTCAAGCAAATCATCTTGAGTTACGTCGAGATCTCTCTCAAAACCACTCTCATACCCAACTGCCTCTCGACTATCCGGAGACGGGCTGTCAGATGACTGTATGTACTGTGAGAATGAAGCAAACATGGTGAAGTGTAGATACTGACTGTTTCTGTGAACTCAACCTCTGGTGTCCTTGACGGACTCTTCAACTCATGCATCAGCTTCGCCATTGCCGTCAAGCATTGATAATAGTTTACATAAACGCTGCAAATTCGAGTATGTTCTTTAGCAGAGCTGGCAGCGTGAAGCCGAACTGAATATGGCGGATGTAAGTCAAGCGCCGGCATGGGTTTGTTGCTGTAACACGAACCTGAGGATGACGTCCAGCTTTGCCTCAAGAGATGAGAGAAACACCTTGCATGGTAATTGGATGCCAAACGACATCGCCAAGCAATGAGACACCAATGAGCCGCTATGCCCATAAGCTTAAACCGATGATCACAAGGCTTAGCCACTATGCTTATCTCGGCTTGACCGGTGGGGGGATACAATATGCAGCAGCCCATCCATTATAAGGCTTACTGCATCTTGACATGATTTGACTAAGCTCAGTGCCATTATTAACGTTGATAAATGATCTACCGTTTCACTGGGAGCCCAAGTTTGCCACTTGAAGCCTCTTCTAGCATGTGAATTCATCTGCTTGATAGGCGGATGGCTTAACCTCCAGTAACAAGACGTGGTAACCAACTCATCAACTTTATCGGATTTACACGTTGTGAACAAACATCTATGGATGTACCAGACTGTATTCATCCATGGGTACAGCGAATGAGTTAACGTACATCACTTTCACATTAACATATACAATTCAGTTGAAGCAATTTGATTGACTGATTAACTATAAGAATCAATGAAACCTGATTAAAGCACAACAACAAACCAACGAAATCCCGTGTTGGCAAAAGAAAGAAATTCCACTTTTAATCCATTATTGCATGCCGGTTTGCGCAAGAGCGATCCTCTTCCAGTGATCGCGCTCAGCTTCCAGCTTAGCAATCTTATCCTCAAGTTCTTCCAGCTTAGCAGCCTTTCGCTCACGAGACTTTCGTGCTGCAAGAGTGTTGCGAGCACGCTTCATAGCGACGGTATCGCTAGGGTCATCGATAACGATAGGGGGCAGGGGCTTGTCACGCTTGCGGGCGTTCACACCGGCCACAGACGAGTGACGAGTGGAAGGAGATGTACCCGACTTACGGCGACTAGGAGCAGGAGACTGGTTGTCTGAATCGACTTCATCAGACTTGAGCTCCGGTGAGTTCTCGACGCTGGTGGGTTGAGCAGGAGCAACGTTGCTGTCCTGAGGGAACAAGGGAAACCAAGGGTCTGCAGCACCGTCGAAATCGGCACTGCCGAAGTTTGGAGACACATCGTATCCATCGAACTCTGGGGACTCGTTGTAGATAGATGGTGAAGTCAAGGCCGTCAATGCTGACGAGTTAGGTGCAGACATGAAATTATCATGAGCAAAAAGATCTTGGGGCGAGATAGTCGCCAGATTGCCAATAGAGCTGGAAGAGCTGCCGCCAAAGTCAAAGACAGAGGGGACAGCAGGTGAAGAGAAAGCCGTGTTGGCCCCGCCATCGAAGGCGGTAAACTCCTCAGGGAGTTCGACGTCTGATATTGGTGAGCTAGTAGTTCTGGAAGTGAGATCACGGGTGCACAAACCTGCAGCGTTCATCATCTTGGCGGTTTGTTGCGGGACACTTCCTGTACTCTGAGAAAAGAGAGGAACTGGAGGCCTAGCAGGGCGGTTCTGCTTGTTCAAAGCGGTAGAAGACGATGGAGCCGAAGAGGCGTAAAACTGGTTCGTAGGACGGTTTACAGGGGACGAAGAATGACCAAAAGCCTGGAGCAACTGGGCGACTCGTTGATTCTGTGCAGCAGGGGAGACAGGCTGTTGGTGACGATTGTGCAGATGAGACGAGTGACGACGCTGAGATTGCAGCGAGGTAGTTGACCGATTAGGGGGCTGATCGAACAAGACAAAGTCCTGTTGTGGTGATTCGGGACTCTGTAACTGTTGCGCGGATTGTGCCGGCAGGCTGGAATTCGTGGAGGGAAGCCATGGTGACTGGGGATCCGTGGTGAAGACTGGAAAGTCTTGGGCTGAAATGTTGGCGGTTGTGAGAGAACTTGAGCTGAAGCTATTCAAAGCAGGGCTAAGGTTCAGATCGACCGAGAGGTGAGCTGAACAAGGTGGTTGAGTGGGGATTGATGCGTTAAGGTCCTGGGACGTAATTTTGACGGAGGACTTGGGAATAACGGGGGAAGGGGGTGATTTAGAACATCTTGACGATCGCCTTAGGCGTGAAACTCTTGATGATACTGTATTGTGATGATGATTTGGGGGTGGAGAGAAAAGAGAAGAAGAAGAAGCCTGAGGACGGGAGATGGAGACAATTTGTATTTCTCAGGCAGCAATCCCGCAAGGTTTGTGCGCTTTTGCTGTAGGTACAAGCCCGGAATAATGGGGCAGAGTCTGCCACTAACAATTTATGACCTGACCTTGGTAGGGTTCGCGTTAGCGGACAACTTGTGCTCTCAGGTACTGTTCCAAAAGCGCGCCCTTCGGACAGACATGGGTCCGGGCAATGAGTCACACTTTTTTGCGCCAACCTTAATAGGACTGGCCGATTTCTTGAGTGCAACTAATTCTGAGACGGCGCATCCTCCGCAAAGGCACCAAGCCTCCACCATAACTGGGACTACGACTGAGGTGCTAGGGTGCATTCTACAGCTGGCACAAGTCGGCAAGCCTCAAAGGGGGCGCCTTCGGTGTGCTTTGCTGCACTCTGCCACTTCACCTTGTGCCTCGTCTCTTCTCAATATGCACCCTTCCCCGTCTTTTCGCTGTGTTGTGTTGCCTGGATGCATGCTGGCGCAGGCTTGAACTAGCGAATGCCCGCCGTAAGCAACAAGCAGTGCCCCTGCATCCAAAGCCCCAATTGGCCGAATTACTTTTCCGCCCTGTTGGCTTGAGTGGCTTCTACCAATCAGCATCTATGAACGGGTACCGAAGCCGCCATCGCAGAGTTCAGAGTTCAGACGTCCACGACACCTTACAGACCGAGCCTCCATTACATTGGCTTTGTTGTAGCAGTGAAAGCTTACGAGGACAATGATGAAGAGGACAACGAATCCTCTTCCAGGGGCACTCGACTCGACGCAGCCGCGCATTCACTCATGCATCTCTGATTAGTCCATCCCATTTGTGTCTCAGAACTCTCATTCCGCCTTCGAGTCTGCCTCCGGCCCGCCCATCCATACAGCCACGCATCGCTGCGATGATCGGTCGAAAAAAATGTTGGCGGCCTTTTTTTCCCTCATCAATTTCCCGATATTTCAGTCGCAACCGTCCTAGCCGACCACAATACAGTAAGTGAAATGAGAAGCTGACGCATGTTTCAAGCATATCACACTGTGCCTGAAGAGATGCGTCTTTTCTTCCATATTAGTCGCGGCATCGCATTTTGTATCTGAGAACCAGGGAGACCGCCCTAACCTCGAACCATCAATAAGCCAATATTTTGCCTGCATGGGCTGAGATCGAAGGATTCAAACTGGATTCAGCCCACTCGTATTGCTATTCTGCGTTTTCACAGTGCATACATGGGATTCATGGGAATGTCCCAGAAATTCGCTTCCTTTCCTGCCCTGTCTGCGTATCCGTATCATGTTCCTGGCTCTTAATTGAGTTCCCAACATCTGACAACACCCTCATTGAATTGTAAACCATGGGATCCTATCAAAGGCTAAGGTGCTTCGCAAAGCTAGTCTAAACAAGAAGTGGATGGTATCTTACTTCTTACCAAGCATCTTGAGCCTTTTTCAAGGTTGCTCACGTACTTCGGACGCGCAAATGCCGACTCAATTCGTATAAGCTTCTTGGCTTGGTGTTTTGCGGAGCCACCACTTTGGGATATCGCTCGATCTTGTCCATGTTCTAATTCCGTTGCACGGAACATCTTATTCAATTTCAACCTCCAATACCTGATTCCTCGGCAAAATACCAGCCATTAATTCCCTAGCCTGTCCAAGAAGGAATCAGCCTGTTTCTTGGCCCTCCGTGCCGCCATATCCTCCCTCCGCTTCTCAATCTCCCGTCTCCTAGCCTCCTTCTGCTCCTCCCGGGCCCGACGCTGCTCTTCCGTCTTGCGGCGCTCTTCCGCGAGCCCCTCCATCTCCGCCGTTCGAGTCTCTTCGTCCTTACTGAACTTAAAAAATCCCGTGCCTTTCGTGCGGATCTCCCAGTCTGCGTCGTAGTGTTGCGCTGGCGGCGGCGTTGCGCTACGGTCTCGCTTCCGCGCCAGCTCTTCCATCTTCTCTGGGTCATCTGGATTGAAGGCCATTGACTGAATCGCGTCGCCGACGATGAGGTTGCTGGGTGCTGCTGGTCTTGCAGACATGCGCTCGAGCTCTTCAGCTCCTAGGAGACCTCGGCGTGCTCTGCGCTCTAATCTGTCCTTCTCTGCTTTGGTAACTTTTCGTAGACGACCAAATTCATCTTCATACTCGACCAGCTCGCCACTATCGTCGGCTCCGTCTTCATCGCTGCTTGTTTCATAATCTTCCTTCCCTTCTTCTCCTTCCGCCCATTTGCGGTCAAAGTCTATTAGGGGCGCGGCTTCATTCTCTTTTGGCACGTAATCTCCTCGCTTCATTGCAGCGTATAGTCGTGCTTTTTCCTCCATTCTGCGCTTCGCTCGCGCCAACTCCTGAGTTTCCTCCTCTGTGCCAGTGACCTCCTTTAGCTCTAGCTTCTTTGATCCATCAGACCCTTTGCTTCGCTTTGGTTTTGTCCCTTTAAATATGTCATCTTTTCCTTCCTTCCGAGGTCGTGCGCGGCCAGCAGATGTCGCCCCTGATGAATTATTTGACATCAGCGATGTCAGTTGAGCAGTGAAATCGAGCGAGCTGGTTAATGTTGCATCTCGCTTCTGTTTCTTGACTGGTCGCTGACCATACAAATTCGGGTCTTGAGGCATCCTTTCCAATATGTGTTGTGGTTTGCGTATGTTCTTATGGCTGATAATCGTTGATCATAGAGGAAAACAATTGTATATCACTGGCCTAAAACGAACCAGGCCCATTAGGTTCGTACAGAGCCTGAGGCAATCAGAGTTCAGTTATGAAGCAACAGCTCTTAGTTAATCGAATTACTACACTTTCATTAATCTGCCTTACATCCAAACATTTATTACCGCCTATACGACCTTCTAATACATATCAATATCATGAACAAAGTGGGCTCATCAATTGATTGTCCAATGGGTTACTGTTTAGAAGTCTCCGATGTTGTAGGGTAATCCACCGCGGGGTTATATGGTGTGCTCATATCACCGTGTTCAGTGCCCCGCCATCGGAGCTTGACTTTATTCCTTCACAAGCTTCGTCAACAGTTTTTCAGTTCAACAGCAACAATGGCCGCTCCCAAACAAGTTTTCATTGGAATTATCGGTAATTGAAACAAGAAAGCCATAAAACAACATAAAGCTAACAATTGTTACCAACAGGCGCCGGAGGTGTCGGCAAGGCCTTCATCGACCAGCTCCAATCCCTCGCTGCTCGGAAGCCATCACCGAAGCTGAACCTTGCATACATTGCCACGAGCCGCAAAGCCCTCTTCAACGACGACTACTCTCCTCTTAACATCGGCAACGTCGTCGACACGCTCGGTTCCTCTACCAAGGCTCCTCTCGCTCTCCCTCAGGTTGTCGAGTACCTGGCTAAGGCTCCCGCCAAGAGCGTTCTTGTCGACAACACCAGCTCTCAGGATGTTGCGGAACTTTACCCACTTGCGCTGAGCCGAGGCATCAGCATAGTTACACCCAACAAGAAGGCGTTCTCAGGCTCATACAAGTTGTGGCAGGACATCTTTTCAGCTGCCGAGTCTTCGGGAGCCCGCGTCTACCATGAGTCTTCCGTCGGTGCTGGTCTCCCCGTTATTTCCACCCTGAAGGACTTGGTTGAGACTGGTGACAAGGTAACCAAGATCGAGGGTGTTTTCAGCGGCACCATGTCCTTCCTTTTCAACTCTTTTGCCCCTACCGAGGGCCAGGGTGGCAAGTGGTCTGAGGAGGTCAAGAAGGCCAAGTCACTGGGATACACTGAACCCGACCCCCGAGATGATCTCAACGGTCTCGATGTCGCTCGCAAGCTGACTATCCTCGCTCGTCTGGCTGGCATCCCTGTTGAGTCCCCCACTTCTTTCCCAGTGGAGAGCCTCATTCCCAAGGAGCTGGAGTCTGTTTCCAGCGGCGACGAGTTCCTTGAGAAGCTCCCTGCCTTTGACTCTCAGATGGAAGAGACCAAGGCTGCCGCTGAGAAGGCTGGCAAGGTTGTCCGATTTGTTGGTAGCATTGATGCTGCTTCCAAGCAGGTCAAGGTTGGCTTGGAGCAATTCGACCGCTCGCACCCCATTGCTGCTCTTAAGGGCAGTGATAACATTATCAGCTTCTACACTGAGAGATATGGAAGCAACCCTCTGATTGTCCAGGGTGCTGGTGCTGGAGGTGATGTGACCGCCATGGGAGTGACAGCTGATCTGATCAAGGTCCTGTCGCAAATTGCATAAAAGTCCATATTGAATAGCCAAAATAAAAGTATCAAGTTTGAAGCCCCAATGAGAATTCACGTGTTTCCAGTTCGTTGTGTGCTATCATAATTAAAGCGACGCTTTGTCTATTCCTGTTGCTATTGCAGCAGCATGTGGGTTCGTAGTGACAACGCTATCGGGTTCGGAATCGAAAGTCGAGGGTGGGTTCGTATTACTGATATTCCTCCACATCCAAAGGAAGAGGTCGAAGATCACGAGAAGAAGAACAGGTATGAATAGCATAAGTCCAAGGCCGAGCTATCCGGAAATCAGTCACAAGCCCAGGGGAAACTCGGTCGATCTTCACTTACACAGACAAGAGAGATCAGGTTAACGATAGAGGAGTACTCGGTCATTAGAGGACCAAAGAAGTTCCATGATGCGTCGGAGGACATCTGGGGCAATCTGGATAGCGCTACAGCTTGCTTTGAAGTAAAAAAGCTCATGACTTGGAAACGTGTGATGTTGTGGATGGTAAAATCACAGATTCCGAGGCTGCCTTCAGGGATGGAGGTCGAAGCTCCATGACCCAATGTCCAACGAACAGGGTTTATTTCCGTCACTTAACTGGCATGTGCAAGGCCAATGCTCAGCTCATCACACCGCCTGCCGAGTGAGGATAATTCTGCCACCCGCAAAGCTTCATTCGCATCAACTTCACAAATTATCACTAGAAATTCACAAGCACCAACTGAATAGCATCAACGGCCACCATGACAACAGAGCTCACAAGTAAACAGAAAGCACGTGAGAATGATCGCGCAAGGAGGACGAAAGATGGGGTTACTCAACTACCTCGCAAAAAGTTCTATCGCCAAAGAGCGCACGCAAATCCTTTCTCTGATCATATGCTAGAATAGTATGTGCTCTGGCTCATATCAGTTGCATTGTTTCTAACTTTCTTCAGCCCTAAATCACCAGACGATATGGATTGGTCCTTATATTTTCCACATTACGTCCAGGAGGGAACGCCAGAGGATCCCTCAAAGCCTCCTAAACTGACAAAAGACGTGGAAATTGTCGACATTGGCTGTGGTTTTGGAGGTCTTCTCATTGCTCTAGCGCCCAAGCTACCTGACACTCTCACACTCGGTGAGTCAAGAGTGTGCCGCCTAAAAGCACGTGTACTAATGTACCCAGGCCTGGAAATCCGAACACAAGTAGCAGGCTACGTTCAAGAACGTATAAAAGCATTGCGATCACAAAACTCGGACAACATGTATCAGAACGTGGGCTGCATTCGAGCAAACACTATGAAGTTCCTCCCGAATTTCTTCAAGAAGGCTCAACTATCCAAGATCTTCATCTGCTTTCCCGATCCTCACTTCAAGGCCAGGAAGCACAAAGCCAGAATTGTATCGACGACACTGAACTCCGAATACGCTTATGCGCTACGACCAGGCGGCATTGTGTATACTATCACCGATGTCGAGGACCTACACTTGTGGATGGTTCAGCACCTTGAGGCTCATCCTGCTTTTGAGAGGATATCGAAAGAGGAAGAAGAGGCGGATGAATGTGTCCAGGTCATGTCGACTGAGACTGAGGAGAGCAAGAAGGTCACGAGAAATAATGGACAGAAGTTTGTAGCGTTGTTCCGAAGGTTAGAGGATCCTCCGTGGTAGTTGGAAGTCAATGACAACTTAAGGCTTTATCGTTTCACAAGATGCTTTAAATATGCCTTGAAACATTTATGCGAACAGCCTTGTGACATGGCCATAATTTATGCAGCGTTGAGCTCCAACCCAATCAGTGAACCTGTGGCTTTCTGCTGGCTAGTTCGCAAGAAAGACCATGTTAACTTCCCGAGGAAAATACAAGACTAGAAGATTAGGACACTGTCGATATTCGATATGTGATAATGTGTACCTGCAGACAATGTCACTCGTCTCTGGCGGGTGCTGGCATGGGTTCCTTGTCCCGCAGACCACCTTATTTTGACAGGGGTCCATCAAAATGACAGCATCCACTGTAATCGACAGCCACCTCACCTAACTTTACCTAACCTAACGGCACCTCCACTACCTAGCACCAGCACCAGCACCGCCAACTTCACCACTTACATCCAATCCATCTTCGTTCAAGAATGTGGCTCTGAGGTCAACATCCTGGTGATGGCCCTCAAGCGCAGAGATGTCATTGTTGCTGGACTTGCCGCCTTCATAGCCTGGGGCTTCGCTGCGAGCTGGTCACCTGTCCTCCGCTGGGCAGGCCATGCCTTTGTTGCTGGCTCCCTTGTTACTCTCGTGGCCCTCTTAGCCGGTCTCTTTCTTGTATCACGACGGCCAAGCGATCGAAAACTACAACCACATGGCGTTACGTTCCTTGATAAGAAGTCATGGCGATTAGAGGTGCAGGCACTGCGCCAGCGACAATCATATACCCCGACTCCAATAGACCCTGAATCACCCCGCGTTTCCGAAGCCATCGACAACTTGCTTGGCCTTGTAACCCGGGACTTTGTGAATAGCTGGTACTCAAATATCAGTCGCAACCCGTCTTTTTCGAACCAGGTCGATCAGGCGGTGCGGCAGGCGTTGCTGAGCTTGACTGATTTCCTTCGTCATAAGGACCTGGCGGAGCTCGTCACTAGCCGTCTTGTTCCTCTCCTCACCGCCCACTTTCGAGACTTCTACGAAGCAGAGAAATCAGTGCGAGGAAAGAAACTCAACCGTTCTGTCACTGAATCTGAGGAGCTGGACCTAGCTATTGCTTCAAAATTTCGTGATGGGCGCCTACATCCAGCTGCTTCTTTGTCGTTTCCCGACACAAAGATGGTCCAGCAAGACTACCTCAGGTCTCTTGTCGCAAAGATTGTACCCAAAGTACTACCTGAGAACATGTTGTCCAGTCGAGCTGTATCGATTATTATTCGCGAGATCGTTGCATGCGCCGTTCTGTTCCCTGTGATCCAACTTCTCTCTGAACCAGACACTTGGAATCAGTTGATGGAGAATCTGGGCCGCTCAATGCTTCAGGATCGATCAACCGTGCGAAAGCTCCGAGCAGCCTTGGACCAGCATGCTCCTTCGACACCCAAAGCCAGCAAGTTAGCTTCCATGCCTAGAGTTGCTCCCGGAGACAGTGAGCGCAAGTTCGAGAAGTTTATCCGTGCTATTCGCAAGGTCAATAACCTATCAGATGCACGTCGTTTTCGTAGCGAAGTCGCTAGTCAACTGAAGAGGGATTCTCTTGAAGACAATCAAGACCAGGTTTACCTTCGTCGGTTGGAGATGGGAAAGAGGCTGCTAGACCAACGGGTTAATCATCTTGCTGCTGGTGGCGAACGTCGTCCACCTGGTCCTTTGCCTTTACCATCGACTTCTTCTTCACAGTCCAAGCTAGAGAGTGCGCCACTAGTAGATATTCTGCGAGATTCTTCAGCGCTTTCTTACTTTATGGAATATATGGATCGACAAAATCTCATGCCTTTAGTGCAGTTCTGGCTTGTGGTTGACGGATTTCGAAACCCTCTAGAAGATGATGGCCCAGATGACGAACTGCCATCAACCCTGCCAATGTGGACAGATGCCGACCGCCAGGATTTGCAACAGATTAACCAGGCCTATCTTTCGAGGCCAGAGTTAAAGGTCCCGGAGCATTCAAGGAATGAAGTCAAGGACTTCATCAAGGCAGGAAAGTCAGCCACCCCGTTACAATACTATAGAGCGCGGCGAGCTATCTTGAAGGCCCAGAGCGCCGTCCTTGAGGAAATGCGGTCACGCTTCTTTCAGAGTTTCAAGAAGTCGGATTTATTTTACAAATGCCTTGCAGCTGAAGAAGCATCCAATATCCAGACTCTCAGATCGACACCACAGCCAGAGGTACAGGCACAGGCACAGGCATCAGTAACCAACCGAGCGAGCAAGACTTTGCCAGCAAAGCCAAGGCCAGTATCGCGACTAACGCCACAATTATCCAATGCCGGGAAACGTACAGGATCCGCATCGGATCTTAAATCTTTGACATCCAATGGTAATGGGCATGGACATCGAGCTAGGCGCTCGTTAGACGAAGGCCCTGTTAATCCTCTATTCGATGACGATGACATCGATACTGATGGGCTAGGAGATTCTGTCCAGAGTCTAGATCCAGAGACGAACAGTCAACAACTACCAGATACCCAAGTTGTCAAGGCAGTAGAACAGGCCTTTACCGATATCATGGAGGATGATCGTCCTCAAACCGCTGAAGCTCTCCGTGCCTCCCTTTTCGGGGGCCCTGGCGGCAGCAGTATTGGAGGCATTGATGATAATGCATCAAGTCTCTTCTCAGGCAATGATAACGAATCTCATCGTGGCTCTCTGGATATGGGCATTCGACCTGCTATGGCGAACAAGGAAGGCGAGAAACCAAGCCTTTCGTCGCTTGGTCTCGTCAGTGCGGCTTCACGAATCGGTGTTTTCGTTGACGACGATCTGTTTGGCGATAACAACAAAGATCTCCCTGACGACGGTGATCCAGATGACGGGCCACCACCTGACGACGAAGATGAAGTGCATGAAGCAGCACCAGGAGATCTTGGACTGGCAGAAGCCATCACTGCCCTCTCAAACGACATTGATCGCTTGGTGGCGCAGGAAGCGGTTGTGGAATCGTTGACGCGAAAGGCAGAATTGACAAACAATACTGCCGAGCTGCGCATTCTTAGGAAGTCCAAAGCGTCTCTACACAGGGAGATCAGGCGCAAGGAGCTCCAACGGCAGCAGTACGTGATCCAGGAGAGCGACAACAGTCTCTACGGCCGCTCAACCATCAAAATCAAGTCTATCCAAGTGGGAAGAGAAGAGGATGGCCGAGAGTTTGCACTCTACGTTGTTGAAGTCCAGAGAAATGCCGGAGAGCAGATGCCTGCAGCTTCATGGGTAATTTCGCGGCGATACAGCGAGTTCCACGAGCTTCACCAAAAGCTGCGGTCCCGATACCCTTCAGTTCGAAACCTTGACTTTCCTCGGCGGCGAATGGTGATGAAATTCCAGAGCGAGTTTCTACGCAAACGACGGACTGCTCTGGAGCAGTATCTACAAGACCTACTTCTTTTACCAGAAGTTTGCCGCAGCCGAGAACTCAGGGCCTTCCTTTCACAGAGCGTAATCACCCAAGGTCAAGATATCTTGGATCGCGAAGACAAGAAAGACATGATGACTCGGTTGTACGACTCTGTGGCGGATGGAATGGATGACATCCTTGGAAATATCCCTGTACTGGACCAGATATCTGAAGCTGGGCAGAACCTTATTGCAGCGGCTACTAACCAGCTCAATGCAGTTCCTCTCAATGTTAACGAAGATACGTTTCCAGCTGCTGAAGCTGAGGCAGAGTTGAATGCATTTGAGAATAAGGAACTTGAACCGTTCATCAAACCGATTTGCGACATCTTTCTTGAGATTTTTGAGCTCAACAAGGGAAACAATTGGCTCCGTGGGAGAGCGGTAGTAGTTGTTCTGCAACAACTTCTTGGTGGAACGATTGAAAGAAAAGTTCGAGACAATGTCAAGATGCTTGTTCAAGACGAAAACATTCTCAAATACATTGGGCTGGTGCAAGATAGTCTATGGCCTGAAGGCCAGTTACAACGGGATCGCAAACCGCGAACAGCTGCCGAGAAGAAAAAGACACGGACCGAGGCGAGCTTGATGCTGGCCACACTGGTGCCAGATCTCGCAGGTAGTGTTGTTGGAAGAGTCAACGCTCAGACAGCCAGCCGTCGTATATTTGCGACGTTGAACAATTCGAGGTTGAAGTAAGTCTTTATTTTCTTCGCCGACTTGTGTATGAGCTCAACTAACCGATCTACTTATAGTGCACACCTCGTATTTACTATGATTGATGAAATTGTCTCGGTCCTTTTCGAGGAACGGTAGGGTTATGGATTAAAAGTCATGTTATTCTTCTCCACAAAGCACATGATACAGGGCAAAGCAAAGCACAGCACAGCACAGCACAGCACAGCACAGCGAGGCGTTGGGCGTCACTAACAAGGGAGTCAAGTTGGGCTGATACGACGACGATGATGACGATGATGCGGGATCGGGCGAAATGAATGACTTATGGTTTCGTAATGAAGAAGCCTCTTTTTTGGAGGGGGGCTGCTTATTGTTATAGATGTCTACTCCTCCATGTATAAGTTGCGCCATGAAGTAATAGTAATGACAATGACAGTTGATAAATGAAAGATTCTTATACGAGGTGATCAGGTCACGATTGGAGCGTATTTTACATGTGAGTTGCCAGTCTAGGCAATCTACAGCTACAGTAACGTTGTGTTATGTAGGCTTTAATGCAGGCGAAAGCGTTCGCATGTGACGCTAGCGAAGCAGCTTCAGCGCCCGAGAAAGCGGGATCCGGGGCACCTTCTCGATCCGGCCATTCTGCCATGTCCTGCCGCCTTCTGGCCCCAGCCTTTTTGTCGCGTTTTAGGCGAGTCCTACCTTGCCTTAGTAACTAAGCTTGCGCCCATGTTCTCTTTCTCCTCTCCACCAACCCAACGTCGCTTTTCATATCATCATCATCAAAGTCAATCCTCGTCCAAAAACCGCCACCTTCTCAAAACCCCGCGTTTTGACTCTGGCTCTTTTGTTGGCCCATCGCGTGACTGGCCCTGGACATTTAATCTGGAATCTCC